ACCCATACATATATGTGTTTTTATATCCTTGTGGGGACATCTTGGGCTACGTTCACACTGCAGGTCTTAATGCTCAATTCCGATTTTTTGATCAAATCCGATTTTTTTGTCTGCTTGTTCACACTACAAATAAAATGTGACAGCAAACGCGCTCCTGTGTGAACCCTCAAAGCGGCAAAAGAAGACGTCACACACAACACGCTCTGTTCAGACCCAGACCAAACAGTATTGTTTGACTGATGGCCGTTAATATAAAGACTTGTTTCGGACTTTACGTTCCCCAATTTTTCTTTAAGTTATTTACATATGGCCTAATAATGATCCTTATTGCAGTTTTAGAGAGGAGCGGTGCTTCAAAGGATAGTTGCAGATTTACTGTCAGAATCTGCAGATTATACAGTATAAATAAAATGTTTGCGCTTCCCAACAGCTCACTAACATCTACACGGGAGGGACAGGAAGCGTTCACGATGTCTTTTCGGGCGCTTCTCTGGCGCTGATAATTGGCGTCTGTTTTGTGTCAGTGACGTAAAACACGGATTTAATGCGACATCACCATTCACACAGCAGTCGCTTTCTGAAACATCAGATATGTATCGGATTCAGTACCACATACGAAAGTGACCCAGATCGGATTTGTAAATATCGGATTTGTGCCGTTCACACTGTCATACCATGATTGGATATGGGTCGCATAGGGTCAAAAAAGTCGGATTTGATGCGCTTTCGTGCAGTGCACGTAGCCTTATTGACACAATGCTTAGCTTACCCTAACCATCAAAAATGAATGCCTAACCCTGACCCTAAACCACATTTCAAGTCTCAAAGATGCCTTCTAACTCATCACAATGACGGTAATACCCGTCCACACACACACACACACACACACACACACACACACACACACACACACACACACACACACACACACACACACCAAGCAACAAAACAAACTAAGTGAGAAGTGACAGACCCAATTCTGTCCTAAGGATATCCGGGTAGCTCATATATGACTCATGCATCTGGCTGTGTTAATCACCATTAAATAAATTAAATTAAATTAAATTGTTAGTCATCGTTGTTACTTTAGCACTTTGATTACCTACAGATTATATTCAGACAGTGAAATCTATAAATATATGACAGCCCACTGAAATGTGTTCAGTGAATTGTTGGAGTGGAAATGAAAAAAAAAGTACCTCAAACATGAAGTACGAAGGTGGCTAAATATAACAATAACCCTTTTGTGTTAACTGTCAAGTCATTCTTGTTTACACATACTCTCGAACAACAACAGAAGAGTCCAAACCAAAGATCTTTCTAGATAAAGGCGTTTACGTTCCGGATCAGCAAAGATAACCCTGATATGAGACGAGAACAGACGGATGGATAAATAAATAAAAGTAAAATAAATTAAAATAAAGACTGTTTTAAAGTGTGTGCAAAACTGGGAAAAGTGTGATTTGTTTTGCTAATGCAGTTAACTGGAGAAGTGTCAGTCATTTAGCTGCCATGAACATGTATTCATATTAATGATGACACTTCATAAATCATGGTGCTCTGCTCAACCTGAACTCTGTGACTGACTGAAAACATGGATGAATGTACTGCGGGACACCACAGGGTGGCAGCAGAAACTATAATCAGGAGCTTGAACGCTTTGTTTGTTAAAATTTGAAGTCATCTGATCTTTCTACAATGTTATCTTCGTTGAAAACAGACATTTATTGACAACATTTGCTATCTTCATCTCTCTCATCTGACATCTTATGTGTGGAAGGATGCAGCGCATTCTATTACATTGTTATACCACCACTAGGGGGAGCCAAAGTAGGAGCTCTATCCCTCCAATTTTACATTGACTGACTTCAAAGGGGCAGTTTGTTGCAGTGTGGTCTCAATTCTGTATTTTCTCATTTTTAAAACTGAAACACTGAAGCCTTTTTCTTGGAAAAAAATCATAATAAATACGGACATGATTCAGTTACAATAACAATTTTAATCATTCTTTTGAAGTTTGTGATTGACAAGCAACACAATAAATATTTTCCTTTAAATTATGGTAAAAATATTATTTGGAATTCATTTGGTCATTGAAGTTTTGTATTGATAATCTCTGATACTGTAACAACCCTTGTTATTGACAGTGCCTTGCTGTAAACTCATCTGTCAGGTGTTCAAAGTTTTGTAACTTTCAGGTTTATACTTTTTAACTCAGTTTTCAGGTTTTGTCACATCTGGCTGTGTAGCAAGCAGGATGTGGACCCAAACATCTAAAGAAAATCAGCTTCAATGCTGAACTCAATGCAAAATAACAAGACAGAGGGGAAATAAAATTAAATTCTTTTTTTTTAAAAGTAAAACATGTCACCAAATACAAAGCAGTAATTAAGTAAACAAAAACAACAGACTACCATACAAACTTAACACAATGGGGAGACTTGACAGTAACAGGAGGCTAAATAGAATAAACAATAAAATACTAATAGCAAAACATGCTCTAACTGAAACAAGAAATTAAGGCTCAAGACATTAAGGTGATATTAAATACAATAATAAATTAAATTGAAACCTCTGGGTCCAAAACCCAGGATCAGGTTTATTTAAATACCACCAAATCACATCAAGTCACCTCAAGGTAAAAACCCTGCTGTATCCTTGAGAGCAAGCACTTTGTGAGAGTGGGAAGGAAAAACTGCCTTTTAACAGGAAGAAAACTCAGCAGAACCCCTCTCAGGGATCTGAAGCGACCATTTGGGGGTAGAGGGGAAGGAGAAGATAATTCTTAAACCCGTAACAAACTGGATTGATCCTACTTGTGATCCCAATCAGCTTGTAACCTTGCAGCTGCTGCCTGTGACCTCTTTCATCATGGCTGCTTTAAAATGATGTTAGTGCCTCCTCTTTTCTGCTTGGAACACAAAATCTTCCTTTCTTTTAGATTCCAGTTTATCTCACTGGTTGGGATTGGGGTTAGGTGTGCATATTGATGACGTGCAGCAGCCTGGTTTTGAATTCAATTTGGGGCTCTTTGCTGTGTGTCTCCTCCTCCTCTCTTTCTTGTCTACTCTTGACTGTTGAACTGTCAAATATAGACAGAAAAGCCCCAAAATAAATGTTTTAAAACAAAAATCTTCCTTTCTTTCCACAAAACAGTGTAGGCTACGCTGTAAAGGTCTGCTGAAGTTGGCCCCATAACGCTCCACAATGACCAATCAACCTTAATTGTAGCCTGAAAGTACCACAGCACCACCATTGCCAGTTTAAGCACCCCGGGTGATGCCCAATGAGGCTTTAATCCCCTCCCTCTCAATTTAGGCTCCTGTTCTGTGAACTCTCTCATTCAGAGTTGTGACATGCATTTGCTAAAATGGGGACGAGAGCTGGCCTCGATGGGGTTATTTTAGGAGACCTAAAACGCGTGGGACGTGTTGCATCAGTCTGGAAGGAGTTTAAGCTGAGATTCCTCCACAGAAGCTCCATCACTATTACTCTATCACTGCTTAGTTATTAATGCTGTAAATTAAAAATAAACATGTTTGCGCCATGCCCATTCATAGCGATGGCAATGAGCACATAGTGAGGAATGTTTTACTCTATGTTGCCTCATGTTGTAGTTTCACCACTGATTCAGGATTATCTGTGAACCAGCGTGTTGCAAGTTAAAAACTCCGACTGCGCCGTGTCTCGCTCTGGTTTCACATATCTGCTGAATTGAAACAAGATTTTGAAATTGGAACTGTGCACTGCTCTTTATTTGATTTAAACCATCATTGGTGCAAACATGTCATGTGACAAAAATGTTCAAATGTCATTTTTTCTTTTTTTTTCTTCTTCTTCTTCTTTTTTTTTTGTCCTTGGCCCTTTCCAAACTCCTCCCTAATTTTGTAGTGCTGTCAGAGGCTTCCCTGGGATTTGCATGTGGTATGAGTCACAATGACCATTTAAAAGGCTTTCTCATTAACCAGAACTTCCATCTCCACATGCTTAAACTAGGCCACTGCAATTCACTGCAGCGTTAATTCTGTGAAATGCATGTCATGCTGCTCTCCTGCTGTGTTCTGGTCTTGCTTGTGCCCGGTCCAGGTTTTACGGCACCCACATTTACACCGAAGGAAGAAAGCACTCCTACACCAGAACCACAGGCTGACTTGAAGCTGGCCACAGTAAGTGTATAATTGCACGAGCTCCTTTTACAAATGTTTTCAGAGTGGACTGCATGTGAATTGATGTCTTGTACGATGCAAAGTCATGCTAAATTGTCAGTGATTTTACTGCAGGGTTAAAGAATTTGGAAGGATGCATTATTTCCTGTGCGTATTTTAAGATATTTCCTTTTATTACATTTGTTTTTATGTGGGTGGAGGGTGGAGGTACACAACTGCACTGCCCTCTCAGCCCTTGATGCTGTTATATTATATCCTTTAAAAGATTTGCTTGGCATTCCCATTTTCACATTCTTCATCCCAATTTAATTCCTTACATCTATTTTTTTTGTCTTTTCCTTTGAAGCAAGTTGCTTGTCTTTGTTCCATCTTGTGCCGACTTTTTATGCAAGTGTAATTGATAGTTGATGCTGAAAATAAGGGCATTTATGTTGAAGCCATGATAGCTCAGTCAGACGTTTTATAGCAGTTCATAATCTGTAATGCATGTTGTGATACAAGAATAAAGTTTTGCAGTAACTAGGTTAAAATTAAGAATCCAAAATTCTGACTTTAGCTAATTAAATTACTCCACTATTCAGTCAGTTTACGCCAACCACATTTTTCTTAATGATTAATTATTGGAATTAATAAACATTTGATTTATATATTTCTGTTGCATTTTATTTAAAATGATTGCTTTCTGTTTATTAAAGGTGCAGAATTGTTTTTTTGTTGTTGAGTGAATCAAACCCTCTTTTGTGCAAAATGCTATCTGATGTGATCTGATCTTAAATCTACTTTAAGGACTATCTCCAGCACTATTACCACCTACAAAATGATCCTCTGGGGCGCATGAAACGAAGCGGCCTCTCTTTTACCTCCAAGGTGAAAGACATGCAAATTTTCTTTGGGCTGAATGTGTCGGGAAGACTGGACTCGGATACCCTGGAGGTGATGAGGAGTCCTCGATGTGGCGTTCCAGACGTGGAGGAGTACAGCCACGCCCAGACGACACGCTGGAATAAGAATGTCATCACCTACAGGTATTTACTGTGGTCTTCACTGATGCTTAATGATCATGCGTAATGAAAACTATCTGGAAATGAATGTTATATAGTGGGCATGTCTAACCTTGAATGAACTCAGGGGGGAAATAAAAAAACAAACTGTCTGGCTGTCTTCACCAAACCTCAGAAATATGTGAGGATCATTTTAAGAAGACAATAAACCCTTTGGCAGAAATGGAGAATAGCCACTGTCACAAATCCTTATGGCTTTTGGTTTGGGACTTCTGGCTTTGAGGGTCACTGTGGGCTTGTTAGAGTGCCAAGCTGACCATACATGCTTTAACTTATGTAACACTGTCTGAGACATCCTTATACATTCCTGTGCAGATTCATTTTGAGGCATGCCTGCTGGATTACATACTGAGTAAATGTATAATTAAAGAGTAACAAAGAAAGACAATTGTTTTTGTTGTTATTAAAAAAGAGACTTTATTCAAGTTAGTGTAATGTTTTGGTATCATGGAAATTTTTATTTCACAAAACCTTGCAGGAATAACCTAACCGTGGCACAGCTCCAGATCTCTCTCTTTAAAACAGTGAGACAGGGCATTGGCTTTAGTGGATGACTGCACCCCCTGAGTGCCCTTCTCTTGACTCTTTAACAGGAAGTTTACACAATAACTACACGATGTATGAAACTTGGTGAGGAGTTGGATGGAGAAAAAGGGAGACCATTCATTTTTGCTGCAGATCTGGATCACATTCAAAAGTTATGAAATAGAGAATTGGCCTAGAAAGATGGTGCTCTCTACAATACATTTGTATTGCGTGTGCAGTTTGATATTAATCAGCGTGTGTTGCTCTTGTAGCATTGGCAGATACACCAGAGATTTGCCTCGCAGCACTGTGGACTCTTTGATAGAGTCAGCTTTCAGCGTCTGGGCCAGAGCCAGCAGTCTGACGTTTGTCAGGTCAAACACTCGCAATGCTGACATCATGGTGGAGTTTGCGAGCTATGGTGGGTTTGTATTTTGTTCTACACGGTACAGTCATGGAATATAACAGAAAGAAAAGAAATTCTCAGCAGCTCTCAGCCTATTATCTTATGCAAATATAACAGAGCAGCAATTGTACACATAGGAAACTGCAGTAGTAATTTCATTGTTAACCAAGGTAGCGTCATCATGCACTGGCTGCTAAACTCAACTGACTCATTCAAATGAGGTGAAGAGAAGCCTATAATTTTCTTTTGGCATGAAAGAAAATGGTTTTCTCTTTGGTTTCTGTTTCGTGTTTGGCCTGGATTGTATCATTTAGCACACGGTGACTTGTTTCCATTTGACGGGCCTGGAAGGACACTGGCTCATGCTTTCGGTCCGGGGTCAGGAATCGGCGGGGACACACACTTTGATGATGCTGAGCGCTGGACAGCAGGAGAAACAGGTGCTGAACCAACCAAACTAGAAATAAAATTGGAAAAAAGAACGCTGGAAATCAATCACATCTTTACGAACGCACTTCTCTTTTTGCTGTTTCAGGTTTCAATCTGTTTGTAGTGGCAGCTCACGAGTTTGGCCATGCTTTGGGTCTGAAGCATTCCAGAAACCGAGAGTCACTGATGTTTCCAAACTACAAACCCTTCCGTTCAGCAAACCTGTTATCCAGTGAAGATGTAGCCAGCATCAAAGCACTTTACAGTAAACACTTTGGATGTATTCCTGAGTAATCCTCAAATTCAAATGCAGTTTTTGTGTGAAATAATTTTCCCAATTAACATATCTATATTTGCCTGTGTTAGGTCCTATCAGAGGTCATCTAAATAATCTTCTGACAAACTTTCATCATAACAACTGGTTGTCTAGCGTACTATTCCCTCGACTCATGCGGGACAAATGTGCAGCAGACTTGACCTTTGATGCAGTTTCCACTCTCGGGGATTCCACCTTCTTCTTTAGAGAAAGGCATGTTGATGACTAATTTGCTTGAAGCTGTCCGTACCCTTTAGTCAAATCATCACAGCACCATTAGAAGATTTAAAAATACTATTTAAAACATGAAACATTGTATTTTTTAAAATAAATTAACTAACAATATTTCCTCATGCCAGGTATCTCTGGATTAAGCATAATCATGAGGATGACATCAAGGAGGGTCCCATCTCAAACTTTATGCCCAAGATTGAAACCAGCATTGATGCTGCCTTCTGGGTACCTCGCAGATCCACTGCTTACCTTATTCATGGTAACCACACAGTGTCACAGTTTTCAATAAATCTTGGGCTCTGTTGTGCCCTACCCCATAATTCTATGTAGTGCTCCCAAATAGCTTTCCTACTGCAGAAACCTTAGAATTGATAGTAATAACTATACACCTTTATATGCTCCTTCCTATGTGGAGTCCCTCAAGGTTCAATCCTTGAGCCACTTCTGAATTCATTATATATGTTACCTCTGGCTCCTACCATTGCTTTCCTGAGTGCAAATCTGTAAATCTCTGTTAAGCCTAACATGCTTGCTAAACTTCGATTGCTTTTATGGGAATTTCTGAATACATTTCAGAAATTTGAATAATTACCTAAAAAGCCCTACATTGCAGCTCCTGCTTATGCAGCAGAGACCTTATCTGATCTGGGCATTTTGACATTCTTACTTTAAATCCAGAAGTGACCACACTTTTGAGGTTGTAGTGCCTTTTCAGTTTGACTGAATCTGTGGTTTTCTTAAACTGTTAGAAACTCGTTTTTCTAGATTAGTGTTTCCATAACCTTTCTCACAGTCTGTGCATGTATGAACAAATGTAAGAATGTAAGCTTGACTGTGTGCTTGGATGGTGGGATATGTGCACTTTCTTTATGTATGATTTTGTGCACAAAGTACTTTTTAAATGTGATTTAAAGTTATTATTATTATTATTATTATTATTAATAATAATAATAATAATAATAATAATAATAATAATAATAATAATAATAATGATGATGATGATGATGATGATGATAATAATAATAATAATAATAATAATAATAATAATAATAATAATATTGTTATGCACACTTAAACTGTGTTATAATAACATTTAAAAAAGCAAAAGCCACGAAAAAATTCTGATGATTGAATCATTTTGACAATAATTTTATTATTGTCAAACAAAAAAAGTTCAGGTTTTTATTTGCATCTTTATGTGTAAAGCATATGTATATTAATAAACAAATAATGCATATTTATAAGGATACTCTTTTCTTGGACAGAGTCCATGTTCTGGACAGTGAAAGGCTCTCTTGTGAAGGGAAAGCCCAGAGCACTAAGTCACTTTGGGTTTCCAGTCTGGGTTCAGGATGTAGATGCAGCAGTGCACATCGCCAAAACAGGACGAACTCTCTTCTTTATGCATGATATTTACTGGAGGTAAGACAATAAATGGATGGCATGTATCTGATAAAGATCAAGTAAATGTTTCCCCCAGTGCAATTAAAACTTTTATTTGCAGGCAGGTTCACACATTAGGGCATTTTACTTTGCTGAGCTTGATTATTTGATGTGATTTAACTCAACTGCTTTTGCTCCACAGGATTATATTATCATGCCTTGGGCCATTTCTTTGTTTTTCTTTTATGAGTTCGGGGAAGAAGAGACTTGATGAATGCATGTATGCGGGAACAGCAAATTGAATTAAATCAAATTATACTCTTCTTCTCATATTTTAGCCACAGTAAAGTGTTGTTTAAAGACTGTGTGGTATTAATGGAGGTATAATGCCATAGCAGGGACAAATGACAAAGCAGATGTCAATATGGACTTTTAAAAAGTTGGGCTCAGATATGACTAAAGGATTCCCTCTGTCATTTGGACCTCACGGAGAGAGAGGAAAAGGTTCACTGTACACAAGTTACATGTTTAGTCCAATCTTTGAACGACAAACAGATGATTGTGAGTCACGAGTTCTAACAGGGTTACATTACTTGCAGTTACAACGAAAACCGAAAGGTTATGGATTTTGGTTACCCAAGGTTCATCAGCGAGGGCTTTCCTGGACTCAACAGCACAATAAATGCAGCTCTTCATAAAGATGGTGAGGAAAATATTACACCCTACCAAGTGCATGCTTTTTGTTTGATTAAATCTTTCTTTATGCAGTAACTACTTAACATACATATCAACAGTACTCAAACTAGGTGATAATCCTGTCTGATTGTTTAGGATGTAGGTTTGGCTGTGTTTTAATGGCTTTTGCAAGTTTCATTATCATTGGTAGCAAAGGAATGCTCATTTAAATTCAATACCAGCTCTGTGGAGTTCAGTCTGAGCAGAGCATGTGGTTCCCCACTTAGATTTAAATGGTATAATTTACCACTTAAAATGCTTGGTATGATATACTAAAATTTTTCTGTATGATATATATGAGACACTCATTGTGTAAATCATTGACATCAACATCAACAAACTGGAGGAAGGAAATCTAGAAAATCTAACATGAAAAAGTAGAAATGCAGTATGTAAATTATTTCATTTGCATATTAAAAATCTTATTTTGTTGTTTTTGTTTTTTTCTTTTCTCATCTTAGGCTTCATCTACTTCTTTGTGGGACCACAAGTCTACAAATACGACTACACGCAGAAACTTGTTGTAGGAGTTGAGAAAGCAAATTCCTGGCTTGGTTGTTAAAGTACTGTCTGAAATCCATGCAACAATGATATTAGCTAAATTAAAGAGGGCAAATGGAAACACATTGTACTTCTCAGTTTTTAGCGGTATTCTATTTATCAGTAGTCATGTCATGTCAAAATAAAGAATTACAATTGAAAACTTGCTATTAGATTTTTGTAGTTTTTCTATGCCAATCATATTTTCTAATCATGCCTTTGCTGATCAGCATATGAAGTTTGTTTGATTTATAGATGTAAAGAAATCCACATGAGGTATAGACGCATATAAACATGAGACAGTGTACATTAAGTTTTTCTCCTACCTGACTGAGCAGGAAAAAATGCAGTTTTCTATGCTATGGAACAAACCGTACATATGATTATCGCCATTATAGACAGAAAAGCCAAACATATGTAGACATTTCATTGTGAGGTTACAACCACAAAACCTCTCGGGGCAAATATACCCAGCTTTAACAGCCATCATGGAGCACTTTGGGGCCATGTGATTGCAAAACAAGCTCAGGAATACTCCCATATAAAAAATGTGAAGCGTGGTTGAAATGTGCATTTAAAACATGGGTTTGTTGTGGATACCCGTTTTGGGCTCTCTGATGTTGGTGGAAATCTTGTGGACTCTACCCATTGACAAAGATCAGCAGAGGCTTGAGGATGTGGAGCTGGCTGAGGTTTGTGAATGGATGAAAGGCTTACGAACTTTGTATAAAAACCATATAAATTAGAATTGTTGTTTCAGTTAGAAATGTTGGAGATAATGTTTGTAGAACCTTTAATGTAAGACTGTGAAGACTGCAATGGCTTCAATTAAAATGGTAGAATTATGAGTGTATTTCGTTTATTTAAACTAGTAGTGCTACAGTTCAGTGTGTGTGTTTTCTTGCTATTAAACATATGATACATTCACAAAATTTCTATTTGAAGCGTCCTGCATTTTTTTTCCTTTCACTTGTTTTGAAGTTTATGTGTAAGCATCTGAAAAAAAACTGAATTGAACCAACATCTGTGATACAGTTTCTTTTCCTTTTTAAACTCGCTTGCTCTCTCTTTTCAGCTGTTACAATAATAAGCAGGAGGGAATCTTCCTCATCTTTGCTAGACTGACATATTTAACATATTTTATTAGGTGTTTAAGGAAGAGAAATAATTAAATATGTTTTAGATTACATGTAAAAAATTATTAATAAAATCCAGCTTTACATTTTACACACCTCGTCCTAAGCGTCCAGATCTCAACTCTTCATCTCAACAGGATTACCTCAAGAGGTTTTACAGTCTGAATCTGGGAGACCACAGGCCTCCAGTAAGAAGTGTGAGGTCTGCATCCACCATGGAGGAGAAGATCCAAGAAATGCAAAACTTCTTTGGTCTGAAGGAAACAGGAAATATGGACCCTCACACCCTGAATGTGATGAAGGAAGCAAGGTGTGGAGTTCCGGATGTGGACAACTTCGCCTTTTACCCTAATAGGCCTAAATGGAAGAACCACATCATCACATACACGTGAGATTGCATTTTCCATGTTTCCCAGATTTCACAGCAATCTGCCGTTATTTGTGAATGTAGTCAAATGGCGTAAAAGATTAAAAACTCTGAGAGAAAATATTAACAAGTGTAGTGTACAATCTTACAATATTGTACTATTATTTTAAGTTAAGTTTATTAGTTACTTGACTTCCACATTTCGTTTGTTGAAGCATGTATAGAAAGGGAGTTTGAATGAATAGTTCTGTACTGCAAAGACTCATTGGAACATGAAGTTTTCTTATTGGTTATTTTTCATTTTGCTGGGTTTAGACTTCCTTGTTGTGAATGTATGATGTGGTTTACAGCATAATTCCAGCAACTGTGTGGTGTAATAAGAGGTAAAATTGATATGTATGTAATAAGAATGAATAAGAATGTGAATTCTGGATATGAAGGTTTGAATATGCAGATCGAAGGCCCTGAATAGCACGAGGAATCTTCTTTTTATAGATATAAATCTAAAGCAAATAAACTGTTGATGGCAATAGCATGAAATATAGTAGGAACGCTAAATAATGCTATAATAGCAACGATTAACAATATTATACTGTAGAGTTTATATTCCACTTTTGCAATTAGAAAATAATCTCGTAAATTGCTTAAAATTTCTTTTGACCACCAGAGGATATGCTAGTATTTGTAGCAACATATGTTGAAACATGTTGTTCCTGATGCCTCATGTTTTTCTCAATTGCTGGCATGCAGGATTGCCAGATACACTCCAGACATGAAGAAAGAGGATGTGGAAAAGTCTGTTCGTTCAGCCTTGAAGATGTGGAGCGATGCAACCCCGCTGAAGTTCATCAAAATCAACCATCGAAAAGCTGATATTGTCTTCTCTTTTTCTCGCAGAAGTAACTGTGATAACGTGTCTAAGGACTTTTAATCGTGACTTTTAATTATGATGAATAAAAATCAGATCCTGTGTTTTCCTGTAGCTCATGGAGATTTCTTTCCCTTCGATGGACCTGGGGGCGTGTTGGCTCATGCCTTCATGCCAGGAATGGGGATGGGTGGAGATGTGCACTTTGATGAGGATGAAACATGGACGGCAGGGACTCAAGGTTTGTCAGTCAAAACATGAATGCAGTTTGAAAGCCCAAAGATGACACTAGGCAAAAATTGGGAATTAAATACATATTCTGAGCCAGACAGAAGCATTCCAGCAGTTTGTAATGAAATAATAACAACTATTTGCAACTGTGTTTCAGGTTACAGCCTGTTGAGTGTTGCAGCTCATGAACTTGGCCACTCACTTGGTTTGACTCACTCTAGAGACCCCTCTGCTATCATGTACCCCAATTACAGACATCAGAGCAATGCCAAGTACTCGCTCTCTAACGATGATGTGAGGGGTATCCAAACTCTGTATGGTAAAGAACAAAACATAAAACATTTGAAATATTGAATTCATAAATCGTTAAACACTGAAATAAAATTCTCAGAGCGTATTATATATTATATACAATGTTTTCTATGTGACTATTTCACAGGTAGGCCCAACAAAAAGATGGAAACCCAGGTGGCTTCAAAAAAATGTGACCCAACATTTCCCCAACTTTTTGATGCAGTAACACTGATTGAAAATGAGATTTGTTTCTTTAAAAACAGGTACAATGTATTGCCACTTAAAGGTGCACAACATCTTAAATAACCTCTCAACAGCAACTCACTTTTCTTGTTTCATTGCAGACACATGTGGATGAGAACAACAAGGACAACTTATTGGAATCGTTTAACACAAGGCCACATTACCACATATTTACCGAGCATCAGTTCTCAGATTGATGCCGCTTATGACATCCCAGCCAAAGGCGTGGCGTACATATTCACCGGTACAGTAATGGGCAGCCTGCAAAGCATCACTTAGACGTTGTCAGCATGACAAGGCTTGATTTCCAGTAGCAGAACACGCAAATTACAGCCTTGTGCAACATAAGTGTTGCAGTTCATGCAAGAGGCTCATTGAGTTTGGCAGGGATTGTGGTACGTTGCTGTTTTTCATAGTGTCCCCAAATCCAGTGACATGGCTGTGTTTTTCCAGGTCATAAGTACTGGGTGGTTGAACAGCTTAAGATGAAAAGTCGCGCTGGCTCCATTTACGAGTACGGCTTCTCTTCCAGAGTCAGGCGGGTTGATGCTGCTGTGCATGTCAGCGAATACGGGAAAACAATGTTCTTCGTAGGAGAGTTTTATTACAGGTAACTTTTTAAAGTGCCACTTTACAGTTAGAATTGTTCTCTGTTCTGATTTATACTTTAACATGATGAAAGTCACAGGACAACCTGACCTGTATATGGCTGATTATAGCTGGAGCTAAACTGACCCCAACCTCATTGTTATTTCTGCCATTAATCGATAAGTTGTTTGGTCTGTAAATATCACACACTAGCTTAAATCACTAAGCTTCTGTCTAGTCTAAATTGAACTACATTCAGTTTACTAAAATATAAGCAAAAAGAAGCAACAAATATAATCAGCATATAATAATCAACGGTTAATTCTGGCATTAAGTAAATGATGTTTTTGCTTTAAATGTCTTTGACATTGCCACACTAAAAAATGTACTAATGTTTTTCATATATTTCAACTTTATATATTTGAATGATCAGGTATGATGAGCACAATAGGAGAATGGACCCTGGCTTCCCCAGACTCATCCGAAACGATTGGTCTGGAGTCCCCAGAAGGGTTGATGCTGCATTTAAGTTACAAGGTAAAAAAATAAAAAGGAAAAAAAGACTCAGGAAGTTCAAAATGTGGACCTTAGCAGCCAGCTGCAAATAGAGTACAACTGAAATAGAAGTTGTAATTTCTTTTTTCATTTTTTTAAAACCGAGTTTAGGTTTAGGTAGTAGACGGGTGGAGTTTACCACACCAAACACACTTTGAAACACCATCTAGTTTCAGGAACGATATAAATTTGACAAGTAGAAATAGAATACTATTCAGAGGCAAACATGGCTGTGCACATGCCAGGCAATCACACTCCACTCACTCACACTTAAAGGATCTACAGGAGCCATGTCTCACGCTCTGTTTTACTTACTGTTTCATTCTCACTTAACATGTGGGTGGATTTTGGCACCAAAGCTCTGTATGCTTTAGAGGGGGGGAAATCATAGTGTGAGCTGAGATACATCCACTCACTGTTTTTGTATGATTTTCTTTTCACAGGTAGCATCTTTCTCCTCTGTGGAACAAAATCCTACCAGTATGACTTCAGACAAAAACAAGTGGTGAATGTAATTCCAGGAAAGTCTTGGCTGGGATGCTGAATTGAAACAGACGTGAGAAAGACAGCGAGAATTCCTCAGTTATAAAATTACAAAAAACCCTCTGAACATGTTAAGCTAAGATAACCATGTAGCGGTATAGTAGTTGTGCTACATTTTTTAAGCATATGTGTACTTGTATGTGAATTATACTAACCCTATCTCTGATTATACTAATCCTGTGTCTCATTCGTTGCTGTTGTACATTGGTAGTAATACTTCTTAATCTGTGCATGAATATACTAAGTACTTATACTGTGAGAGTCAAATGTAAGGTGTACATTTTTGTCAGTACTCTACACGTATTCAAACCCATGTACTCAAATCTTCTTTCAAAATGTACATCCAGTTAAATTACACCTTCAGGAAACCTCTAAAAAGCTTACCAGTGAACTCAGCAGGATGTTTGTTATTAAACTCACCTCAATAAAACAGAATATTTGTGAAGTGCCCCACGACTATCTTTGCAATGCTGGAATCTTACATATTCTTATTAGCAAAAACAATATGCAAATACCCCAAAAAGTGCAGCGGAAAGGCTTTTGTTCTAAATTGCTCTTAAGATTTGTTGCAAATGACAGCCTCTCAATGCACACTAGTGACGCTCACGCTACATTAAACATAATTGTATTAATTAAAACACAAAAATATTGATTGAATGTTCAATATAAAAACACAAAAATGTTGGCAAATGCATTATTTTTTCTTGATAGAGTGGTTTATGCTTTAATTCGATGGTTTTGGAAACATAAGCCTCATTTAATTGGATGCTCCCGCCTGCAGCAGCTTTAGCACACTGTACCTATACCCCCTCCCAAAAAATAGACAAAATATTGAGGAAATTTGGGATAAAACTATTTAAGCGTCTCTCTCAAAATGACAACATCAGCACAAAAACATGATCTAAACAACCTTTTTTAGCAGGAAGATAAAACGGATCATAACAGCTCCTCCCGCTGTGTTATCAGAGGGGCCGCTCAACTCCTCTTTTTTCTCCACTGTGGTAGCTTTTCCTTTTTTACTGTGCGTTCTTATTGATGTTTTATCAGAACAATATGCACCTCAGACTGTCGCGGCTGCCCTTTTAAGAGGATAATGGATAGCAGAAAGAAAAGAAGATGTCTCTGTTTTTGAATAGTACTGCTGGGCTGTTTATCCCTGTCTCATGGAGTGTTTACTATAGTGCCTGAAGATTATCCTTGAAGGCAAAAACATTAGCAAAGTAATGTGATGTAAAAATGGGTTTTATTTATTATAAAATAAATCTGTCATGATCAGTCTGGCCGGACTCAAACGGAGGACTCGGGAAGGAAAGTTCAGTGAGTTTATTTACAGTGTTGGTGCAGATAGTGCTATATGGTCTTTTTGAAGTGCTCAGTTCGAAAGTCCCAATATGTACAAAATCCAATAGAAGGAAGGTTCTGTGAATCCAGGTAACCCGATCCTCTGAGTCTCCCCAGCAGAAACTCCACCAAGTAACAAACACTGTCTCTGAACTCCGCTGGGCTGTTGTAGGCACAGAAAGAGAGACGGTGGAGAAACACAGGAGGACTGTGACAACATTATAGCAATCATATAAAAAAAATCATCTTCCATTTCTTCCTGTGTAAATTGTCTCAGCTCATTGTTGTGATGTCTTAAATATGACGCATCACCTTTTTCATCTCACATCTTCACTCATTAATCAATATTTCAGTTACTTAGAATTTTATATTGTACAGAAATATGACGTGGACTGGCAAAACTGACAAAGCCGTTGTAATGATAATACAGTGACTTCAGAGTCACTAAGTAAACTTCTACTTCACATCACTCTTATTGATGTGGCACACTTGAAAACAAACAGGAGCTGCCCAAACTAGAAATGTCCCCACTGAATTTGAAACAGGTAAACAATGTTACAGCAAACATGCAATCGTCTTCAAGGGCGGATGTTAGGAATTCATTTGGGAATGTATCTTTGTTATGGTGTTAGTGGGTTATAAGGGTGTTGATGCCAAATGATCCCCTGGTTTATGGGATTATCTTTGGTGACACACACCCTTTCATAGGACCTGGAGGCTCACACAACTTCTGACAACAGGAGAGGACGCTAAGTTTCAGAATATGTGATACATATAGTATTGTAACAGTCTTGAGTCCCCACTCTTTTCTTTATATTTTGCTAGGGTAAATAGGAAACTGGTACAGTGATTGATTAAAACATATATATTTCACATATTTTATTCTTAACAAAAAAGAAAAAAAGCACAATTTCATTGTACGTGTACAATGAGAATAAAGGGCTATTCTATTTATTCTATTCTATAAGGCAAAAACAGGATGTACAATTCTACAATTTCTACAGTTTCTCTGCCCTCTTTAGGTATGACAACATGCAACTAGCAGGACTGATATGAGTTGCATATATCAACATGCAGTGACACAGCAAAACATTGGGAAACAATTTAAGCTGCTGTGTTTTTTCTCGATCGTGTCTGAACTGTTACGTTGTGAAACGCTCACATGCTTTGCTCAGATGCTGCAATTTCGGAAATAAGACCACACAGTTTGTAAAGCCACATAAGACGAGCTCCAATAACGGAAGAAGCCTGAGTCACCGTTTTGAACATGGATATGGATAAATTAAGGATTTTATAGTTTAGTGTTTCATGTGTTATGGTTGAGCCACAGAGCAAGAACAGGCCTATGAGGTGATCCAGTACAAATGATACAACTCACAAGAGTAGGAGACCTTCAAATGGTTAGTTACCAAAAATTCTCCTCTGAGTTTTAGCTTTACTGCCAAAAGTCAAAATATCTGTTACTAAAATTTCTGACACTCCAGTGCAGTGGAAGTGTGTACCGTTGATTTCATTTATGCACAACAGCAAATCCCCACTCTCAGTTTGTCCTCTGATAATTGTCAAAAAGTTGTTCAATTTACAGTACGATCTATAAATTATGCAGACGCACCACAAGGGAAATTTCATTCACTTCCACTGAATCAGGCACGTCTAAGAAAAAAATATATCTCTATTTCACTTTGGTTAGATATCCTTGGTGTATGTACCCTTTAATTTGTAGAAAATATTTGGTTGTCTTAAAGAGAAAAACTATTTAAAAAAAGATTAGAACTGCTTCTAAACAGATTTAAGAGAATGTTGACCATTTTATTGCAATTACGTTTTGATAAAAAACAGGTGGTAGTGCTGGTGTAATTTGGACAGGAAATGCTGATCATGTTAGATGTTCTAATCTCCAACAGTCAGGAATATTTAAACATGCAAGATGTCCTTGTAATTGGTGATTCATTTTCAGCACATAAAAACAATCACGCAAACATCAAATAAGTCTCAACCACACAAGCCATCATGAAGAATGGGTAAAGACATTATCTGAAAACGCAGAGAGAAATACTGTTTGTGCACATCTCAATCTAAAACAGCTGCTGGAGCGGAATCTTGTAAGGAGTTCAAGTATGGTAGCCATCTCTAAACACAGTACCTTAACATAGAAGGTCATGCCATTCAAATTACTATAAATTTGAGTTACAGCAAGATGTTTCCTTGTCAGACATGAGGTGTATCATTGTTACAGCCTTCTTGGTAATCTATGTCAAAAAGCACTCACCTCTGACTTTTTAATCACAATAAGCTGCTGCCCCCCAAAAAAAATCCACTAATTATATTTCATAGTGGTAAAGTTTTTTCTCATCTACTTCCTTGACATGCTGGGGAAAAAAGGAGCAGGATATATTTTGAAAAGGTACTACGGCCATTTCCACACCTGACAACTATTTTGTAACTATTTGCAGCGGCGTAGTAGTTTTAAATCAGCATATATTAAATGCCTCACATTTGACCTAAAACACTACATTTAAAAAAAAAAGCACAGAAGCCAGAAAGAATTGCTGCATTGTTAACTCTCCATCTCCCTCAGAGTTAACAATGCAGCGTCTTCTTTCTAAATCTGTAGGTTAATAGGACTTTGGAGCGGGATCTTAAGGGATGGGGCGTGGCCAGGATTTTTGCTCGAAGCGCCATATCAGCAGGCCAAACAAATGCTTGCTGTGTGTGGACACACAGACACGCATACACGTTTACACACACAAACCATCATATAGAAGAGAGATTTCTGAATAGGGATTTTGTGTCTGTTTTTTGTTAAAGAGACATGAAAGACCTCAACTTAAGGTTAAGTGTATAAACTTGAACTTGAAACATCTTTATGATGCAACCGAAAGAATCGTGAATCTGAAAAGCTACATGATTTTTCTGGATTTTATTTTTGTCGACTTATGAAGTTATATGTATTGTTTTGTATATTTTTGAAATTTCTTAAGGAGAAGATTGCTGATTGGTCTTAACCAATTACTGTATAAAAGATGAACGACACGACAGCACTTCCTCCCATTGTGCAAAAATGAAGCCAAAATATCCCGCTTGTGGGAGCTGCCATGTTCCACTTTTGGAGCCAGAGTCTGCTCAGTAGTAACTCGTGGCGGAGCGTCTCTGCCCACACACCCACTGGACGTGACCGTGAACACGCCCCCTTACACTTTTTACATAGCCCGGCTGCTCTGTCTCTCATTCTGCAGGGTATGGGTAAAATTTATCATACAAAACATGCAATATGGATTAACGTTACTGCTGAAGATGTGAGGACATCTTATCTCTGAAAAAACAACTGTTAATGAAGCTGGAAAAACACACCCATGTCTTGATCCTTAAAAAAGCATATTAATATATAGTACAAGCCAATCAGAAGTAAGTAGAAGTAAAAGGCTTCAGCCTACTAATATTAGTCAATAAAATACATTCTCTGCGTCAAAAGTGATGAGTTAAGGTGCCCATGGAGGCAAGGGTGCCACCAGGCATTTGGCCCCGGGGTGGACCCAAGTCAGGCTGGAGAGATTATATCTCTTGGCTGGCCTGGAAACGCCTTGGTGTTCATATTCATATTAATATTCTTATTCTTCTATGACAAAAAAGTACAAGTGTTCATTTAAAGAAATAAACAGAACAGTAAGAGATGGTTTTTTTTTGTTTTTTTCCCTTAGCCGAAGGCCGTATCGTTTGTGACCTGGGAGTTGGATAGTCCTGGCTCAGGGACTTTTTTGGACGCCCTGTGTCACTACTGCTTCTGGCCTCTTGTTGTCTTTTGGTGTGTTTTCAGAGGTTTCACTCAAGGTCATATTGTTCATTTTCTTAACTAGCAGTCGGATAGTGCTTGGCGTCCAACTTTTTTGGCTGCTCTGTGTCACTGGTGCTTGTCCTGGCCTCTTGTTGTATTTTGGAGTGTTTTCGAAGGTTTTGGTATCACTCGAGGTCGTAACGTCCATTTTCTCAACTAGGTGTTGAATAGTCCTTGGCGCATAACTTTTTTGGCTGCTCTGTGTCACTGGTGCTTGTCCTGGCCTCTTGTTGTATTTCAGTGTGATTTCAGAGCTTTTGGTATCCAGTTGTTCAGTGATGACGCGACGAATCCTACTTCCGGGTCTAAAGTAGTCTGCGTTTAATATGGCTTTTGTGTTGTGAACATGTTTAATGTTATGTATTTTCTTCTATTTGATCTCAAAAAGCTCCTAAAACAGTCAGTGATCACTGTTGACCTCCCTCGGCTTTTATTACCGCTAATCATTTATTTAAGCTCAGTTTTTAAAACCTTAGGATGTAACTACAGCCCAGCCCATGCAGCAGTATATGAATGACTAACCTCGTATTGTGGATGGATTATCTCAGTTGTTCTCCTGGCTGAAGTTTGGTCCTTTTACAGCATCCTGCCATGCGATTACATTTGTTCCTGACCACCGAGAACACTCACCTTAACTTTTATCGAGTGGAAAAAAAGTTAGCTTGTTTATATCATGCTAACATAGCTGTGTCGCTAGCAGTCACGTAGCACATCATTATATAGCAGCTAGCCCAACTTCAGTAACCCTACAAACGTCACTGCTGTTTAGTTTTCTGTCTTCATTTATGTTGGAAGTGATAACAGAGCTGTACGTTTTAATTTGTTTCCAAAACCCCGCAGTCAGGACATGCTATATTGTATTTAGATAGAAGCTAGCGAGCTAACTCCCTGCTAACTTCTAACTCCGTTAAATGTCATAAATTCCATTTTCATGGATGCCTGGATGTTAAACTCAATTGTTACACCTGGTAGAGCAGAACGCTGATCATTTTATTAAAGATGAAAGACTTTAGACAGTTTTTCAACTCTCAGTAATGCCACAGTGATCGTTTGATATATGGACCTGCAGCGGAGTTTAGACCCAGACACGGCTAGTGACGTCAGACTGAACAACCGGATTGCTCGAGGTCGTAACATCCATTTTCTCAACTTGGTCTTGGATAGACCTTGACAAAGAACTTTTTTGGATGTTCTGTGTCACTGCTGCTTGTTCTGGCCTCTTGTTGTCTTTTGGTGTGTTTTGAGAGTTTTTGGTATCACTCAAGTTCATATTGTTCTTTTTCTGAACTTGGAGTTGGATAGTCCTTGAAGAACTTTTTTGGATGCTCCGAGTCACTGCTGTTTCTTTTTTCTCAGTGTCTACTCTCATCCTCTTTCTCTCTGGAGAGTAGCTCTCAGAGTTCTTTTTGCTGCCTTTTGAAATCTGACTGTATCGTCTTTTCAACACATTTTTTTCTTCACAGATAAGTCTTTCTTTCCTTGGTGGTGAGCAGCTGTCAGCACTTGTCCTGCAATTTTGTGCAGCATAATCCGGGCCTTGCATTGTCTTGAGTGGAAGCTGGACAAGTGCGTTTGTTTCCTGAACTTGGAATTGGACCATGCTGGACGAAGAACTTTCTTGGATGCTCGGACTCACTGCTGTTTCTTTCTTCTCTATCTCTATTCTCATCCTCTTTCTCTCTGGAGAGTAGCTCTCAGAGTTGTTTTTGCTGCCTTTGGAAATCTGACTGTATTGTCTTTTCAACACAGTTTTTTTTCTTCACAGATTCGTCTTTTTTTCCTTGGTGGAGAGCAGCTGTCGTCACTTCTGCAATTCTGTGCAACATAATCCGGGCCTCGCTTCCTCTTGAGTGGAAGCTGGAAATGTGTTTCATCAGAATTTGGCTCTGGATTTTGGTGGTCCATTGTAGTAAAGCCAGCGTAAGCTTGTTGGCTTTTGCCGTGTTTACTCTGAGACATGTCAGAGTGTTGATGAAGTGACTGTCTTAAAGATTCAACTATTTTAAAATTTTTCTCAGGCGTACCTTTGAATGCTGCAATCTCGAGTGTTACAAGTAAACGGACTGACAGTTTGGGCTTCTTACCCGGATTTAAGGATTCACAGATCAAAAGCATGTTATGACATGATGATGTCATAACATAACGTAACAACAACATTCTTTTTTAAAATTTGATTCTTTTTATTGAATCGAGTTTCAATGAATAGAATAGAATAGAATAGAATAGAATAGAATAGAATAGCCTTTATTGTCATTGTACAGAGTACAACGAAATTGGAGTGCCACTCCCTTGGTGCAAGTTTCAATAATAAATATAAATGTAAAATATAAAAAGTACAAAAAAAACAATCGTAAGTACTCAAACAATAGTATGTACAATATATACAGGATAGCAGCATTAATATAATGACAGTATGAATAGCAGCATAATATAATGACAGTGACGGTATGGAATAGGTTCAATTGTTTTTGTGCTTATTTACTATGTTGGTAGCTCTGGGAAAGAAGCTATCCCTGAATCTGTTTGTCCTGGTTTTATGTGACCTGTACCGTCGGCCTGACGGTAATAGTTCAAACAGTTGGTTGCTGGGGTGAGAGTGGTCCTTGATGATATTGCCAGCTCTGCTGAGGTACCGAGAGTTTGCAGTGACCTCCAGGCTGGGCAGAGAGCAGCCAGTGATCTTCTGGGCTGCGTTGATGACCCTCTGCAGTACTTTCCTGTCCGCAGCTGAGCACCCTGCATACCATGTTGTTATGCCGTACGTTAGGATGCTCTCTATGGTGGCTCTGTAAAATGTCACCAGCAGCCTCTCCTCCAGGTTGTTCTTCCTGAGCACTCTCAGAAAGTGGAGACGCTGCTGGGCCTTTTTAACCACCGCTGTAGTATTTGCAGTCCAGGAGAGGTCATCAGATATCTGCACGCCCAGAAACCTCATGGAGTGTACCCTCTCCACACAGTTCCCGTGAATGTAAAGTGGGGCCGGGTCTGCTCTGCCCTTCCTGAAGTCCAAGATAAGTTCTTTAGTTTTCGTGGTGTTCAGTTGGAGGTTGTTAACTGAACACCACTCAGTCAGTCTGTTGACCTCATCTCTGTAGTCCGACTCATCCCCCCTTGAGATGAGTCCAACCACTGTGGTGTCATCCGCGAACTTTATGATGGTGTTTGAGAGATGGGTAGGGGAGCAGTTGGATGTGTAGAGCGTAAACAGGAGGGGACTCAAAACACATCCTTGTGGAGACCCGGTGCTGAGTGTGATGGTGCTGGACCGGTGGGGGCCGAGTCTGACAGACTGTGGTCTATTTGTCAGGAAGTCCTTGATCCAGAGGCAGATGGGGGTGGAGAGTCCCAGGTGAGACAGTTTCTGGACCAGGATCTCCGGGATGATATGATTGAATGCTGAGCTGAAGTCCAGAAAGAGCATTCTCACATAGCTTCCTCGGTGCTCCAGGTGACTCAGCGCAGTGTGGAGCGCTATGGTGATAGCGTCCTCGGTGGAACGATTTGTCCTGTAGGCAAATTGGTGGGGGTCCAGAGTGGGAGGCAGACCGGCCCTGATGTGCTGACAGACCAGTCTCTCAAAGCACTTCATCACTACAGGCGTAAGTGCAACAGGCCTGTAGTCATTTGGGCTGGCCACAGCTGTCTTCTTGGGACACTCACCAAAGTGAATCGAGTTTTTTGAGTCATTTGATTCACTGAGTCAGTCGACCAGAGAGTGCAAAAAATGTACATTTTCACTCAAACTTAATTTGTTTCTCTTTTCATGTAAATCCTACTGCTAAGATGAATGATTCTAAAAGAAAACAACTAAACAGCAAAAAAGAGCAAAAAAATTTCTAAAATTAAGCAATTTCCTATCAAAATTGCTTAATAAACATTTATTTTATTTTATTTTTTATTTTATTAGTATTTTCCTTAAAAAAAAGATTAAAAGCAGAATATCATCACTCATACTATGAAACACTTAAGAGGTGCAGTACAGTAGTAACAGATAAGTAAAAATGTAAATAAAATAATGGAAAAGGGTTTTTTTTCTAAGTGTAACTTTCGGATTTTATTTTGACGAGCCGTACATGTACACCGGATATCCGGTAAAGTGCTCATCCGTCTTTGGTTCCGATACAAGACTTCTTGATTCTCATATACCTTTACTATGCTACAGTAAAACTGTAATAGATATTCGCTTTTTTTTAACCCAACGTCAAATATGTTCACGAGTTGGACCACACTAGTGAAATATGTATTCTTTCAAGTCTGGATTTAAACACGGAAACTGCTCCTAGCCAATGACTCCTAGCTAGTTGATGTTAGCATTTAGCCGCTCTGACTGTAAACAATGCAATGAGGACGGACGAAGGTTCCGGTTGACACGGAAACTAATAGTGAGGAGCACGAAGTCAAATAAGTGTTTGCTGCAGTTTCATTTGGGTAGGTTTTGCTTGTAGCTGGTCCTTACTGTACCTGATGTTATTGTGCAGAAGTCAGTGTTTGCCTTGCTTAAGGTCTGCAGTGAGGCACGCCTGTAGACTGAAACGCAGCTAGATATTTTCTCATTGACGTTTCTTCGCAGATGCTCTGCCCTCCATGGAATCCCTCAACACGTTTGAATCTGAGATGGAGGCTGATGGACAGGGGAACTACTCTCTGTTTCCTGCTCTGGACAGCATTGCAACTCTGTCTGGCACCACTGAAACTCTAGAGAGGTGATTCAAAATAATCAGATTTATAATACGTCATTTTAAAACGTTACTGTCTACTGTAACTTCGTTTATTTTGGATTAAGAAATATAATGCTAGTATTGCCATAGATTATAGAATTTCAAGTGTTTTGAATACTCAAGCAGAGTAGAAACCCTCTATATACGAAACCAGTCTATTTACCACCATGTTCAGTTAGGGTACAGCTAAGAGCAGAAGAATCCTCAGATCACTGACAAATTCAAGGAAAGAGAAAATGTGTCTTAGTAAGGTCTTATGGCATCATATACTGCCAGAACAGCTTTAGTGTGTCATGTTTCTAAAATATATTTCATCCTTTAGTGTTCGTCCATACACCATAGTTGATGTGATTCACATAATAATAATCATTATACTCAGTGACCCCATGAGTCCTATGAGCGGAGGCACCGTCAGCATAGAAATGTACTATTATGGGAATTTATTGAAATGCTTCTAAGAAGTCATCACTTCCCAGCACTGTAAGGTTAAAGGGCAATAGACTTTTCCTTTTGTCATTCCTCTACATAAGCAATATGAACATGTATCCAGATAAAGTGGGTGTGCTTGCAGGAAATTATGCCAAAATTTTAAAGTACAAATAAATCAAGGAGATAACTTACACCAGAGGACACTGATGTTTTATTTCCTGTTTGCAGTGAACCACCCAGCGAAATAGCAGAGAAACCGAACCTGACGTGGCTCGATGCTGCGCAGGTATGGGCCATATATTTGTGACATTTCAGTAACATTCACAGCAGTGAGGGTCTTTTGTGTTTGGTTTTGTAGCAAGTTTTTTTTCTTCTTTCTTTCTCTTACATAGATTGTTTTGGAGGAAGCGGGAGGTCCCATGCACATAAAGGAAATTAAACAGAGAATCATCGACAGGGGACTTGTTCAATCCAAGTACAGTGTTCTCTTCACTTTAACTGTCTAGGTTATTAGAGCATATCTGAAAGTCAAGTTTCATAAGTTTTCATGAGCTTTAGTTGGACAGCATCAGAACAAATTCATGAAAACCAAGAGTGTGCAAGATTGCTGTCTTTCAGTGGGTACAAGGGAGGAGGGAGATATGGTTTTCTGTAATTCACTATGATCCTTTAGACTTTGCTCATCTCGTTGTTCTCTCCTTGGCAGTGCAAAATCAAGCTTGGAAGCCGTCATGTACCGCGAGGTAAGGGAAATGTTTGAGACTCAGCCTCACAGCAGCCTCTGCTGTTGAGTGCAGTAAATTACACCATCACCTGTTGAGTGGATTTGGTGCAAACACCATTTGCATTTCTGTCAGCATCCTTTGTTGTCCCATCCCGCTTCTTTGACTTTTATTTGTTTTGCATCATTTTTTTAACGAGGCAGACATTTCTGGGCTGTAATCGGAACAGACAGTTCTCTGTGCGCTCTGATGTGCGGGCCTTTAAACTGTGATCTTATAATGATTGAATTCATCTAAATTGACCCCCAGCTTGTGTGAATCAAACCCAGCCTTTCCTGCCCCGTGCATTTGGCCTCAGTCTCGCATTATGTTTCAGACACAAAAAGGCAGCAGGAGATTCAAGAGGATTGAAAACAGAAACGGAGTCTTTGCTCTGCTGGTGAGTCATCTGAGATACTAATGGCACTGTTATACCAAACCTAAATATATTATAAGGTGCTGCAAATTTGCATTGCTTTGTATGCCCTGCTGTTGGTTATGGATAAATATGGAAGCCTTTCTTTTCACAAAAGAGCCGGACCCAGAAGTGTAGAGGGATACACAAAACTGTTCTAAGTAATTGAAAAAAATCATATATACAGAATTAAAAGTTCACATTATTACAACTAGCATTTTTGCATTAAGCCTGTGTCTGAGTGAAATAAGCTGAGACAGGGAGTTCAGTTTTGTTTTAATTTCTTGTGCATCTTTTGTTTGGTTGAACTTTTGTTATTTGTCAAAAAGCACTTTTAGTGGAAGCTGCATCTGTGTTTTGTTTTGTTTTTTGTGTACATTTCACCATTCTGAGGAAAGCACAAGCATTAGGCTCAGTGTTGGCTCTGTGTTTCCACAAGCCCCGCTGGTTCAGAAACTTTTTCTCGTTAACGACCAAAACAAGATGAACATCTTTGATTTGCTAGCAAGGGAGGCCCCAGCCGGTGTCTCAGAAAGCACTCTGAATCCTACCACAATGACCCCAACGACGGCCTCCGCTTGCTGCCTTTTATTGGGAAAACAGTTCACACAATACACATCACAGCAAAGCAACGCGCACCATAAAACCCCCCAAATGGTTCTAAGACAAGGCACTATGTGTGTGTATGTGTAAACATCTGTATGCATGTGAGAATGTGTGTGTGTGTGTTTGAGTGAGTGAGTGTGTGTGTGTGTGTGTGTTTCCTCCTGCTGTTTCTAACAACATCCTGGTCATATAGAGAGTAACCCCCCCACACCCAATGTATGGTTCACCATGCATAACACAGTGAAGCCATACAAAGGGCAGGAAGCTTACCAAACATCAAACAATCTTCACAAGGGATGTGTAAAAATTCTCCCCCAGCATAGAGTGGCTGGAGAGGTGGTCAGGGACAAAGGAATGTCTTGACCCTATAGATTGAACTAAGATCTTACAAATTTAAGAAGCATAATGACAAACATTCAACAATTAGACTTAACACTCAGGAACTCGTGCTACAAATGAACAATCCTGTCTTTGTCTCCCCTACATCTCTGACCCCTTGCAGACTGATGAGGAGCGGCAACAGGCCCTGCAGGCTTTCACCGCCCAGTCTTTCCTCAGCTCGCCGCAGCAGAATACCATCTCTGGTTCTGGGTCAGGAGTCTCAGCACCCACCTTCCCATCTCCCACTACCTCCTCTGAGCATAAGGCCAAGGGGAAGAGGGGTCCACGAAAGAACCAGAATGAAAAATATAGGCTCAAGTACCTCCGGCTGCGCAAAGCTGCTCGTGCCATGATATTTGTAAGTAAATGATGTTTCCATAAAAATAAACAGTCTTACATCATGCATATAAACTCACCAGCCACTTTAGTAGGTACACCTGATTACCTAATAATGCAAATTAGCCAATCACATGGCAACAACTGAGTGCATTTAGGCATGTAGATATGATCGAGACATCCATTTTTAATTGAATCTGATTTAGTTGTTGGTGTTGGAGTCTTTTAGAAACTGCTGAGTTTTACAAAGAATGGTGCAAAAAAGTAAAATGTCCAATGAGCAGCAGTTCTCAACATGAAAGTGCTTTGTTGAGGTCAGAGGAGAATGCGCAAACTGCTTCAAGCAGAAAGGAAGGCACTAACTCAGTTAGAACAAAAAAAAGAAATCTGCATTCCTTGTTACAACCAAGGTCTCCAGAAGAGCATTCCTCTACTGTGAATAAGAAAAACAAATTGGCACTACAGTTTGGAAAAACATTGCGTAGTCTGATGAGTCTTGATGTCTTTCTATGGATGGTACGGTCAGAATTTCACATAAACGACATGAAATCATGGATCCATCCTGCCTTGTCTCAACAGTTCGGGCTTCTGGTGGTGTAAGAGGTGTGCGGTATGTGGGATGAGGGCTTTTTTCTGGCACACTTTTGGGCGCTCGTGATCAGTGTGTCCATCTTCTGATGGCTTCTTCCAGCAATATGGTGTTTCATGTCAAAAGAAAGCATAGATTGTCTCAAACTGGTTTCTTGAACATGATGGTGAGTCATGAGACGATGACCTTCTCAGTCACCTCAGTGTGGTAGAACAGGATATTCACGTCATGGATAACTGTGTAATGCTGTCTTGTCAATATGAACCAAAATCTCTAATGTTTCCTGTACCTTGTTGATTCTGTTATGGAGAATTAATGCTGCTCTGAAAGATAAAGGGGGTCCAAATTTATTAGATACCCCAAAAGTGTCTAAGTGTAGACTAGGACATGAAAAGTATGTTATCCAATCTGACCACACCGAGGTGTAATTTTGCCAACAGGAAAATGCAGCTCTCTGTGATGAAGTTGCTCACATAGAAGAAAAGTTTCTGAGAGCAAAGGAGGAGCGGAGGTGAGTACAGGTGACTGCTGTGTGACATGCGGAATGATGTGCTTTTGCTCTAATGGCACATGGTATTCATTCATTTTTTTATTTTCAGGTTCTTACTAAAATCCTTGTTGCAATACCAGTCTCTGTCAGAGGGGGAGCTACTGCCCACACCCAGCTCAAGCGCTCATCTACCTTTACCACCAGTGGCATTGTCCTCAGGTCCTTCTGGGGCTTCAGGTCTGTCCACTACTCACAGTGTGTCATCAACAGTGCCAACAGGCGAAGAAGGAGCACTTAAAAAACCCAAAAAGGAAAGGAAGGAGCGGGGGAGGGAGAATGGAAAGGATGAACGTGAGTGTTACGATCAAATATTTATTAAGACAGAAAATGACATCCTTGTGTTGCTGTATACAACTAAATTGTGTTGAAATTGGGCTTTTAGTTCCAAAGAAGATGTCCAAGAAGAGAAAACTCGCAGATGGCTCACGGAAGGTGGTGCAACCCATCCCTCTTGACTCTTCTGGCCGTCCTGTCTTTCCCATAGTACTGGGAGGTTTGACAGTCTACAGTCTGGGCGAGGTCAGTGTCTCAGTGACAGTAAACCTCTGAGCTGAGGTTTTAAAGTTCCAATCTTTAGCATAAAGTGAGCTTTAGAGGACACAGTCAAGCCTCTCAAAATACTGATGACTGAATCCTTCTTGTCTGCTCTCCAGATCATCACAGACAGAATGCTGTTTCATGACGAGTGTGCCATCTACCCAGTGGGCTTCTGCAGCACGCGCATCTTTGCCAGCATGAAAAACCCCGAGCAGCAGTGCCTCTACACCTGCCAAATCAAGGACGGGGGAACAGGCCCACAGGTCAGTTCTCATCTCACATGCAAGTTTTGATACATGTTTATATAAATTCGGTTTACTTTTAGGTGAACACACGACACTAAGATTAAGATTTGTTACTTTAAACAATAATTTTTTCCAAACACCCTCCATCTCCAGTTTGAGATCGTGCCTGAAGAGGACCCTCAGAATGCGATCGTGGCCTCCTCCGCCCTGACGTGCCATGCCAATCTACTGAAGGCCATCGCGTCTGTGAGGTAGCACAACTTCACCGCCACATTCTGAACAAATGAGCAAACATGACAAAGCTTTTGTCTTCCAGTCACTTAACCTGCTTGTACAACTTGAATTAGTTTTGGTCACCTTCAGTTAAAATAAATCCTTCTGCACATTCTTCTTAGTTCCAAGTCCATGGTGTCGATTGTTCCATCAGGAGCAGACTTCTTTGGCTTCTCTCATCCCACCATCCAGAATCTCATCCAGAGTTGTCCCGGAGCTCGCAAGTGTAGCAAGTAAGTGCATATCTGCCAGTGTTGGGGAGTAACGGAATACATGTACCGCCGTTATGTATTTAAAATACAAAATATGAGTAACTGTATTCCGTTACAGTTACCGTTTAAAAAGGTGGTATTCAGAATACAGTTACTTTGTTGAAATAAATGGATTACACTGCGGTACTTCCCTGTTTCATATTGTTGCGGGTCAGGACTGTTTGGGTTTTGTTTGACAGCTACGTTCTGTTGTTCCAGGCGGCAGCGTTACGGTTGCCATGGTTACAGGGCGACGCTCTCTCTCTCTGTGACTGTGTTTCCTGGGTGAGAGAGCGCCTTTTCGTTGTTGTTGTTGTTGTTGTGCTAAGCTAACAGGCAGAATGCTACAAGCATAGCTCTAAAGAATGTAGCATCATGGGCAGTGTAGTCCGTGCTGCAGGGAGAATGGACTGCCATACACCTTATGGGTCTGTGAGCGCGAGGAGGGAGAAAAAGGGGAGTGGAAAGGTACGAGTTGTCATCGAGGAAAAACGGGAGCTGGAAACATGTAAATATAATAATAACCACTTCAGCCAAGAAGAGTGCCTGACGAGCCCAGTTGTAAGTAAGCTATTAAGACTCGACTGTACACCGTGTTCGTGTTTTCCTCCGAAAACAATAAGTTCCGTTGGAGCAGTCTTTCAATGCCTCTCTCTGTCTCTGCTAGCAAAGTTGACCCACACAACAAAGTAAAGCTAGTTTTCGGCTACGAGCCGACAGGGACCCCGCCGTATTAGTCAGAGGTCCCTTTACTACAGTTCGGAGTCGGGGACCTTCAGTAATAGTAATAAATCACACAGCAATAGTACTACATTCACGTTGTTGTAAAAAGCCTGATAATATATTAAGTAATCCAAAGTATTCAGAATACGTTACTGTCATTGAGTAACGTAACGGAATACGTTACAGAATACATTTTGGGGCATGTATTCTGTATTCTGTAATGGAATACATTTTAAAAGTAACCTTCCCAACACTGATATCTGCTCCCTAACAATGGATTCTCAGCTTGATATATTCAGCTTTTCTAGGTTTAGCTCACTTGCATTATAGACATCTTAAAAATGTCTTTATAGTATTTATGTTTTGTTTTTGTTTTTTAAAATTGTTTATTTAGCTACAGATGGATCCGTTTTGAGGTGTGTCGCCCCGGCGATGGCCAGGTCCCTCACAGCCTATCAGAGGATGATGCCTCAATCAACTTTGAAGCGTTCCAGAGGCACCACGGCTTTGAGAACATCAAGATAGAGCATATCACAGGCATGTACTTTCCATTAAAGTGACAGATGGGTTTACTGTACAGTGAGTCACAGGTTGGTTGGGGGGTCGTCATTGGTTGGGACACAAATCAAAAACTGTGTCAACAGCTGCTGTCTGAACAAAGCAGATGACTCAGCTGTACTTTGCTCTGCTGGAGTGTGTTTGTTATTCATCACAGATGTTACACCTTGGATTTTAAAGCAGTTTTGTTTGTTTTGCCAGCGCTGACATGATGATTACTCAGCGTGACAATGACGATGACTTCTCTATCTCCATCTTCCCTCAGGACAGACACCACAGTCTCCTAGTTTATCTCATCAGCATCACCTCACCTCCCCCACCATGAAGGCTTCGACCTCATATTTCAGCTCCTGATGCTCTGTGCCGGAGCACCTCTGAAATCAAGGCCATACCTGAGCTTAGTTGTTGTAAATATTCCTTGTAAATTACAAGATGGAGCATATTTTTTTTCCCTCCACCAGGGGGCCTGGGCTTTCTTTTCAATGTGGCTTTTTGTTAGTTAGGCTCTCTTTAAACTTCAATAAAAGTCGGTGTTTTCATGTTGATTCAATTGATTGATTGTGTTTTGCCAAATGGTAAATGGCCTGTGTTTGTAGCGCTTTACTTAGTCCCTAAGGACCCCAAAGCGCTTTACACTACATTCAGTCATTCACCCATTCACACACACATTCACACACTGGTGATGTGAAGCTACATTGTAGCCACAGCTGCCCTGGGGTGCACTGATAGAGGCGAGGCTGCCGAACACTGGCGCCACCAGGCCCTCTGACCACCACCAGTAGGCAACGGGTCAAGTGTCTTGCCCAAGGACACAATGACCGAGACTGTCCGAGCCGGGGCTCGAACCGGCAACCTTCCTACAAGACGAACTGCCAACTCTTGAGCCCCCAAATAAAAAAGTAACATTTTATAATTAGGCACACTACAACATGAGTCACAAGTCCCCAGTAATTAAATAGAATTTCAAAGTATTTTATTTGATCTTACAATGTCATTATATTTACAACGTTAAAGTGTAAAGTTAGGTAAGGTGGGAACAAGTCAGGTTTTTACATAAGTAAATTTAAGTAATAAAAGTAATTTTTGGTAATACATGAGTACATGAGTAATTTTAAGTATTGCATAACTTCAGGTGTTTTACAGGAACAGCAACACAAATTATACAGTAAATATTGAAGTACTGCATAAGTAGTTTAATTAGTGTGTAATTTCTTGTTAGTTTTGCAATAATTCACCGTCTTACGTTGTAAACACACTGTACTTTTTGTGGTGCAGGTTATATCATGGACCTAAATTCCAGATATTTTACAGGAAAGGACACTGTGTTTTTTTCCTTTTCAAAGTTATGTTTGAAATGTCATTGTGAAGGGAAAAATGAGAGTTGGCTCCAACATTACAAGGTTTCATAGAACTGCAAATTTTGAAGACATTTATTTTTTCTTGTAAGTTGGTAAGAGAGAATATTTTATTATACCATTACTATTGGTAAAATAAAAGGACAGATGAATACATCATACACATCAGCATAATGATTATTAGATAAAGATGTTTTATTTTCCGTGATGTAGCCTGCATCCTGAAAAATACAGAATATTTACATGAGACCTGTTTTTCTGTAAAATTACCATGAAAATGCACAATACTGAAAATTACTCACAATGTAATTATTTTTTTGTTTTCTCTTCTTTTTTTTCCAGAACCCCCCTTTATAGGTAGTGTGCATACCTTTATTTATGTGTTACTTTATGACTTTATTTATTTATAGGTAAATATACTTTGTTGTAATTGAAAAATACACTGAAATTTTGTTTTACAGTTTTTTACAGACGCTAGGACACATGTCTCAATACTTAGGTCACTTTTGCAAAACTCTTCACACAATTCTCCTAACTGACCCTCACCTTGGCAAAGCAGTTCATTTCACATTCAAAATGCACTACAACTACCAAAACACTTCATTCAGGTCTCAAATAAACTCATTCTTCCAGAACACTAGCAAAGGTTGACAGCCGACAAACACACTTTGTCACCCACAAAACAATGACCTAAAAAACACTAACAACATGTAGCATTACACAGCGTTTTCTTGTGTAAAACAAGGACACATCTCTGTTTATAATTTCAATATATGTTACTGGAATGAATCAGACATCATGCAGAATTCGTTAATATTTGTTTATGTATTTTTATCTTTTTTGCACTAAGTAATCCCAAAATACAAGAATTTGTATACACACCATCCACTGATATACATACAATAGTAATGCTAATCTACTCGGTCTCCTCCATTTGGCCACAGGTTGTCATCCACATCACATCTTATGTCATCTAGGGCAATACACCTAGGAAAGAATCTTCTGGCTGCCAGAATTGAAGGAGTTGAAAAATTGAAGGAGTAACACCTGTGTAGATGTTCATCTACAATGAGAATCAGCTGTGGCTGGTTAAACTGCATTTTTAGATTTAAAATATGTTTCAATAAAATATTGCTGTTGAATTTTGCTGTCTTTTCAAATTTTGCATTGTGTTGTTGTTTTGGCCATAAGTTTAACAGTTTTGAAAACAGTATGTAAGCACATGCAAAATGTCCTGTATGTACAAAGGTTTTTGGCAGTTGTTGTGTCTGAGTGAGAAGATAATTCATGAAATTTGAGAGATGTAGTCATTGAATGCATTTTGTGCCAAAACAATGATAACTGGTCCTCAGTTTAGCCCACATAGACTTCTGTTGTGCTCACTGTGTGAGGAGTTTTGCAAAAGTGACCTAAGTATTGAGAAATGTGTCCTAGTGTCTGTAAAAAACTGCAATACAGTGAAATTATACCTTTAATCACCAGCGTTATCCCCTCAAAAAAGAATTGAGTGTGTGCTGGTGACATATAATAATATATTAAAGCAACAAGTAAATAAGCATTAAAGTGAAAGGTTCACATTATTAGAGAAAATCAAGAAAAGCTTTGAACTTGGTGCTTTTCAATGTGATCATCAGTGCTTTCGGGACTGACAGGTCTGCCATAATAATGTGAAATCCATGCAGACTTTGGCCACATTGAATTAACTTTTTTATATATTGTCTGTGGTTATCACTAAAACCTGTCACCTTTATAGTCTGTTCTGTCAGCCGCAATACAAATGTATAAAATAGAATTGGCACCAAATCACGACTAAGTATTTACTGATTTTGTTTACTGTGCAACACAAGTTACCATGGTGATCAAGCCAAAATATAAGAGCCTGTTTTGTGACATTGAAAAATCTGACTTGCAGCTCAGGTCAAGTTAATCTTCCTTCAAAGTACACCTCTTGGCTTTCTACTGTATGTGAAAAATAGCTGTGCTTTATTTTGAAGCCTGAGCTCCAGCAGTTGTTTCAGTTTTATTGCTATAACGTTACTTACTAATTGCAAGTTGCACAGAAAACCATGTGAAAATACAGGGAGTGCAGAATTATTAGGCAAATGAGTATTTTGTCCACATCATCCTCTTCATGCATGTTGTCTTACTCCAAGCTGTATAGGCTCGAAAGCCTACTACCAATTAAGCATATTAGGTGATGTGCATCTCTGCAATGAGAAGGGGTGTGGTCTAATGACATCAACACCCTATATCAGGTGTGCATAATTATTAGGCAACGTCCTTTCCTTTGGCAAAATGGGTCAAAAGAAGGACTTGACAGGCTCAGAAAAGTCAAAAACAGTGAGATATCTTGCAGAGGGATGCAGCAGTCTCAAAATTGCAAAGCTTCTGAAGCGTGATCATCGAACAATCAAGCGTTTCATTCAAAATAGTCAACAGGGTCGCAAGAAGCGTGTGGAAAAACCAAGGCGCAAAATAACTGCCCATGAACTGAGAAAAGTCAAGCGTGCAGCTGCCAAGATGCCACTTGCCACCAGTTTGGCCATATTTCAGAGCTGCAACATCACTGGAGTGCCCAAAAGCACAAGGTGTGCAATACTCAGAGACATGGTCAAGGTAAGAAAGGCTGAAAGACGACCACCACTGAACAAGACACACAAGCTGAAACGTCAAGACTGGGCCAAGAAATATCTCAAGACTGGTTTTTCTAAGGTTTTATGGACTGATGAAATGAGAGTGAGTCTTGATGGGCCAGATGGATGGGCCCGTGGCTGGATTGGTAAAGGGCAGAGAGCTCCAGTCCGACTCAGACGCCAGCAAGGTGGAGGTGGAGTACTGGTTTGGGCTGGCATCATCAAAGATGAGCTAGTGGGGCCTTTTCGGGTTGAGGATGGAGTCGAGTTCAACTCCCAGTCCTACTGCCAGTTTCTGGAAGACACCTTCTTCAAGCAGTGGTACAGGAAGAAGTCTGCATCCTTCAAGAAAAACATGATTTTCATGCAGGACAATGCTCCATCACACGTGTCCAAGTACTCCACAGCGTGGCTGGCAAGAAAGGGTATAAAAGAAGAAAAACTAATGACATGGCCTCCTTGTTCACCTGATCTGAACCGCATTGAGAACCTGTGGTCCATCATCAAATGTGAGATTTACAAGGAGGGAAAACAGTACACATCTCTGTACAGTGTCTGGGAGGCTGTGGTTGCTGCTGCACGCAATGTTGATGGTGAACAGATCAAAACACTGACAGAATCCATGGATGGCAGGCTTTTGAGTGTCCTTGCAAAGAAAGGTGGCTATATTGGTCGCTGATTTGTTTTTGTTCTGTTTTTGAATGTCAGAAATGTATATTTGTGAATGTGGAGATGTTATATTGGTTTCACTGGTAAAAATAAATAATTGAAATGGGTATATATTTGTTTTTTGTTAAGTTGCCTAATAATTATGCACAGTAATAGTCACCTGCACACACAGAAATCCCCCTAAAATAGCTAAAACTAAAAACAAACTAAAAACTACTTCCAAAAACATTCAGCTTTGATATTAATGAGTTTTTTGGGTTCATTGAGAACATGGTTGTTGTTCAATAATAAAATTATTCCTCAAAAATACAACTTGCCTGATAATTCTGCACTCCCTGTAGTTGCTATGCTTTTCCATGTATGGGATACATATTGCCCAGGTATTTAACTGGTACATTACAGTTAAGTTTTTTCGTCCAGTTTATGCTTGCATTTAGCAAAACATGTTTCTGTATTTTGTTCTTGTTTTCAGGAGAAGTGTTGGATTTGAATGCAACACATCAGACATTTATTTGTGCAGACTTTTAGTCAAAATGACTTGTCTTGTAAATTTCAATTCACAGTGTGTTAAAATAAACATTTGCCATCCTTTTCTACATTCACACAGTGCAGTAATTATCTGCAAACTATACATTAAAAAAAAGCAATTATCCAGAAAACCTTGAAGTAGATATAATCATTTCGTTCCTAGATGCACACATACTTTATTTTCTTCATGGGGACATCTGAATTGGACTCCAAGCTAGCCAAAACAAATCTGTTACATAGCAGTGTTCGTCTAATAACATTACTTTACATTCCAGTGGGATGAGACACTTAATGATGGGACACTTACCGTAAGTGAATAAATGAATGTGACTGTCTGGCTGTGACAGCGGTAAAAAGGAA